TGTTTTTTTTGCAACCTTAAAAATACCTTAAAAATTAAAAACATGTTTTTAACAAATCTTTTTTCCCCTTTTTTTTTTTTTTTTTTTTTTTTTTAAATCAGAGATCCAAATGAGAAAGGTACATTAGGAAGACAAATGATGCAAATGTGGCCAGCAGTCTTGATTTTCTTATTGGTAGTTTGGGACCACAGATTGAACAGTTTTGTTCTTACGCCTTCTTCTTACGCTTAAAACTATTAATGAATGTTTTCAAATCCCATTCCTTTTGTTCCAGCGTTGTTGAATTTAATTGCGTGACTGACTGAAAAGGCAGATTTTCACAACAAAACCTTGTGTACCGGTTTACATTTATACCTGTTAAACTGTGACATATTGGAAATGTATTGTTAATTGTTGATGTTTTTGTCGTTCATAATTGTGAACAGTGAAATGTTTGTACATATGAATGTAGTTTTAAAAGACGTGAGCTGTGAATATTTTTTCTAGTTGTCTGAATCTGATCCCCCTCCCTCTTAACCTCTGCCACACAGTTAATAAAGTGTTTGCTTAGATTTTTGCAGCTTGCTAGTTTATTGTGAAAATTTGGTAATAAACACAATCAAATTAAAGCATTTTATTGATGAGTGAACTGTTAACTTGATTATGGAAGGAAAAATCAAAACAACCCATTCTTGCAGGGTTTCTTAACTGGTGGTTAGAATGAGATAAGTTTGAAGAATATGACTTTGTTTTCTTCAAAGTAACATAGTTTAGGGCTTTTATTACAAATGATTTATCTTCTGTCCAGAAACCATAGTTTTAGATTAGATATAGAAAATCTTTTATAATATTTTTTGAAAAGCAGGTTTTTGCCTTACAGGACTGTGCTAGTGTCAGACATCTGTTTCTTAAACACTACAGTAATCAGCGATTACTGTCATTTTTCAACAAGGTTAGAATCTAAGCTGGTGTCTTTCTTTCTTGTTGCTGTTCTCTTTAGTTTCATGTGTTCATCTGTGGAGTGTATTTTTTTTTTTCGGTTTCTGAAAATAAAGCTTTTCTCGAGCCAGTGTGAACAGCGCAATGAGTTTTGTGGCATTCTGAGAAATAATCCAGTGCTTCAGAGTAATTTTGTTTGCCAGCAGGAGATGGAAAAACGCACAGACTCCTTTGAGTCCTAAAAGTCAGAGAAGCACGAAATTCGAACAGAGCCACAGCGACAGTAGAAACATGTCAAACCGTGCTATTATTTTTCTTCAGGTGCTTTGATTCACAGTTCATGCACAGTGTCCAAGTGAGAGCTAATGGAAAAGGATTTGATGCTTGGTTTTGCTGGTGAAAAAAAACAAAACAAAAAAAACTGGTAATTTTAATATTTTTATGATGTTTTTTTTTTGTCCTGTCTCACTATTACAGATAGAATGATGCTATACTATTTAACATACAGAACAATAAGTAAATTAGT